TGCTCCCCTACCCACAGTGGGTACATGTTAATATGTCCGCCGCTTATGTGGCATGCACACATTGGTGATGTATTTTTTTTTTTGAACAAATATTATTGTGTTGGGACTTTATGAGGTGTCATGCATGTGAGAATGTCCCATTCAAGTGACAAGAGAAAATGGTGTAAATTAAAGAACCATCTTAAAACAATCAAAATGGGCCACATTTTACTAACCAAAAAATAATAATAATTTTACTCTAATATTATTCATTACATAATTTGATGGAGGAAAAAAAAAAACAGAATAGTACGGAACCATTCCGTCGGGATTTGTAACCGTTAGATCATCATGTAACTGTTGGGATAGTTGATATATTGGTTACAAACCCCGACAAAATGGTTCCGTAACGGGACTGTAGCATCTCCCATTATTATTATTAGCTAAACTCTACTTTATAGTTAATACATAAGTGCCAATTAGAGTTCAACTTATATATATAAATCAGAAAATATGCTTGTATTAGTTAGTTTCATCATGTACTGATTGATGAGTTAATGTACTGTGATGTGGCCTATTTTCAATATTTTAGAACAATTTCACAGATCAAGAAAATATTTGATTGCCCTTTGCTAGAAAATATTTGATTGCCTTTTGTTACAGTCCCGTTACGGAACCATCCCGTCAAAATTTGTAACCGTCAAATCAACTATCTCCAATGATTACATAATGATATAACAGTTACTAACCCGGAATGATTCTATAAGCATTTCCCTGTAATTATGTCTCAAGACAGTATGAAGGAAAAGAAAGCCCAACTAATTCAAGGAAAAGTAATGCCCAACTAGTTCGAGATGGATTTAACAGAATAAAGGAAACTAAAGCCCACCTTTCCTGACAGTTTCCAACCAAACTAAAGCCCAACTTCATATTTTAAAAATATAGTACTAAAAAAATTGTTTTTGTTTATGATTTCCAGTTATATTTAAAACATTTGAATAATTTTTTAATATTTTTATATTTAAGAGGAATTTAAATCTTATTCATAGATGTGGGATTTATAGTGAAATTTCGTATATGTTTTGTTTATTTCGAAATCTCAGACAATCTCAAGGGGGCGACAGGATATAAATAAAATCAATTTTAATTTAATTTATTAGTTAAAATGTGTTAATTTTGAATAAATTTGATTGAGTGAAGGATTGAGTGAGATTTTGAATTTTAATTAATTAATAATATTTATAATATAATAATTAAAGTTGATATCATGTAAAAGTAGTAGCATATTATTGAAAATAATAAGTAGTTACAAATATAGAGTAAATGAATAGTAAATTAAAGTTGATATTATGTGTAAGAATGATTAATTGATATTATTTTATTATATTAATAATATTTAGGAAAGTTGAGTCGAATTTTGAGTTAAGTAATTTAAAAATAATTATTTGGCCAGTCAAAACCGATTTAAACTTGTATCCAAATCAAGCCATAAAAAGCACTAACAATTTTTTTGGTACAGGGATCTTTCGGTTTCCGGATCCACAGGGGAACCGACTAATTCGGAGTCGAGCCGGGTAGGACCACAAGGGCGGCAAAGCTCTCCCTCAAGAGTTTTAACACTGCTGCATTCCCATGCTCGAACACGAGACCATTGGTTAAGCTGGAAGAGACCCAAGCCATCTCATCCAAGCGCTCTTGGGTAAATCACTAACAATTTGAGTCTCAAAGAAGCTGAATACCCAATTTTTACAGACTTTTTAAAACTTAAAATGAATACATCAAAGCTCGTAAATTTTTTTAAAAATATAAATAAAGCAGGAATTGCCCACGTAAACTTCAAACTATGTACCTTTAAATCTTAAAATTAAAAAAAAAAAAATATATATTTCAATTCAACACGCCCATCATACTATATGCTCAAATATCATTTTTCAAAGCCTTTTGAGGTCTTTCTCGGATACAAAGAGGCCATGGATGCCGTTGGGCACCCTTTGCGGCAGCTTCACGACGGCGACTAAATCGAGAGTCGGCGACTTTGCATCCATAACCAGAAACTTCGATTCTTGAGTATTTTCGTCGTGAGCGTACGTTATCACGTAACCGTCATCTTCTTCGGCAGTCGGGTTGTCGGGCTCTCTCGGCACGAAAAATGGTTCTCCACCACTGCAGCCCGGTCCGTATAGCCGTCGAGCCACCGTGCAGTCACGGCCAGATTCGTCGGCTAAGGTTAGGTCCAACTTCACCATCCCAACTAAGGCCTTAACCCCTATAATGGCTGCATATACATATCTGCACATGAGAAAAAAAGAATGGTTCTAAATAATTTTTGCTTTAGTTCACTAGACGAATCGAATGAAAAGCATTTTGAGCTCGTGTTCGGTTATGTTCGAGTATTGTTCGTGTTCGTTCATTTGTATTTCGAGCAAACAATCGTGTTCGAGCTCATTCATTTAATTGTTCGTAAAATTTGATTGTATTCAAATAATCTAGTATAAAAAAAATTATAATCATTTAATTAACTTGATATTCGTTTGTTTGAACTCTTTCGAGCTCAAGAATAAAAACAAAAATATCTTCATAGTTTAAATTTTAAATATAAATATCATACTTATAAATAAATTTTAAAAAAAAATAATATTAAATTAATGTTCGCAAAGAATGCTCGTGTTCGTTCCATTATTAAACGAACGTAATTTTCTTTCAAAACTAGTCATCTCATTAACAAATGAACTAGCTCTTGTCGAACACGAGTGAACTCGAGCTCGAGCTCGTTTTGTTATCAGTCAAGCCAAGGATCAAGCTCCAGCTCCAGTATCTTAGAAGCTCGAGTTCGACTTGACTTGTTCATACATGTAGCATGCACGAGCGAGACCTGACCTGTTTTTCTTGCCGGCGTATGCCGGGTTGATGACCGCGAAATCGAGAAACTCGCCGGACAATGCCCGTCTCTCCACCGTCCTCTCCCCGACTCCAATCCTCACCTTCTCCAACGTCATCCTCGGCGAGTCTGCAATCTCCAAGATGCTCTCCTCCGACCCGATGTTCGAGGCCACCATCACCACCATGCCGCCGGCACTGCCGC